AAATGAAAAGCAAACCACATGATTATGCATAAATAAACAACAAAGAGTTTGCCTAGAGTACATCCACCAACAATTTCCTTGCCTAGAGTGATCTGTAAGTATCATCCTACAATTACACACAGATTCCCACCTAATTATAAGTTAAAAGACAACAGATAATCAAAACTATACCATGTGCAGAGTTCATCAAAAATACTCTCTAATTAGAAGGTGACATTACTTTTAGGAAAAGGAATTAATAGAATCTGTAAGATTATCACGTTATTTAACTCAGTCTCAATTTTATTAAATTTGTCCCAGTCTATGAAGATAAATATGCCTCCACAAAGACAACAACGAAATTCCAGATTAGCCGAATAATCATAGGGAAGAAAAAAAATGGAATTCTGCTTGTGTTAATATTTTTTGAACTTCCAACAACTAATATTTGTTGAAATTCCAAAAGTGGCACATAGCAAGAAATTGAGTAACATAAAACCACAAAAAACAAAGTTTAACATTAAACATTGATTAAAGTTAATATTTGTACATAATAGGAGCAAAATGCAACAACAAAAGGTGACCATAACAGGCTATCACAAAACAATGTTTCTTCTCATGAGAAACAAGCTACATAGAGGTTCTAGCAATTTAGACTTAGTTTAGCAACCTGACATAGAGATGCTAAATCTATTCTAAACCGATAACAAAAGTATTTCTAAAAGGGCTCAAGACAGCTAGGGTACAACACACAATATTAACATAAGACATAATATCCATAGCATTGTCAAATATAAGCAAAAGGAGCTGTCTCGGCATACTAAAGCACTACCCTTAGGTCTGGGTGCGTGCTCTCTTCAGTGGGCTGTCAGACTGATTTTCGTCGCTAGTGCCGCTGCCCTCACCAGAGGTTCCAGCCACATAATGGTTGTCCAACGCTAAATTGCTACTTATTGAGTCGGACGACTCATCCTCCCAGTTTAGCACGCGCCTCACACTTGCTTTTGGCTGCCCTAGCACGCCGGTCTTCAGAATTTGGGCAGCTACCTCTTCCAGACATGCTTTTGCGCTGGGAGTGAACAACTGCGACTTTAATGGTTCCTGCACAGGGATAATCGTCAAGTTGCTATGTAATTAGTGTTGCGAGGTAAGTTGATGTACATCCTACAAAAAATTGCAAACATTATAATGTACAACAACCTTATCTCCAAACAATGATTGTTCAGTTTCTTCTCATCTTCAACAAGAGTTGGTTCATCTTCATCCTTATAAATCTTGACCACCGAGTAACTTGGTCCATTCACATTGAACATTCTCACAAAGCAAACAATGTGTTTGTCCCTCATGTTTGCATCGAGCTTCTCCAATATGTTTTCACCCTGATGTATGAGGATGAAAGGATTAGCAATTGTACCAACATTCATTGAATAACCTGCAGCACTTACCAAGTGACACATTATGCAGCACCTAGTAACAGTGGTTTAAATATTTGAAGTTTATGAAACCTTTAGCAATGTTTAATAGTATTTACATTTTTTTTTCTTGGTTAAAGATGAACAACCTTTTCATCAGCTTGTTGGAGTTGAACTCCACTCAAATTGGTTAGTAGCTCAACATCTTCTCCATAGACCACGACAACAATAGAACCAGTACCGTCTTCAATTTTGATTGGAATCCTTGGCCTGTGGTAGTTTGCAAAGCAGATCATGTGATAACATTTTGTTTAATGTTCATGTATTTGCACATTTATATTT